GATATCCAGTGCAATCAACCACTTGTTGATATCTCATCTTGTGAACTAAATTGGCTAAAGACTGGTCTCTCTAATGCGTGAGACCTCAGGAGGAAATAATCTGGATCATCCACTTTGCACATCTGGCTGAAGATGGTTGTAAATATTTCAGCCTGTCACGCCATTCCTTCCGAGCTCCAACATTGTCAGAGGTGGGGAGTATAGATTGATCATCCTCCTCCTTCCAATTTAATTGTCCACCAGCATTCATAATTGGGTGCAGTCTGAGAATATTACCAGTGCTAACTTCTCTATTTTATGGTAATGGATATACGTGCAGTGCATTTTTCAACATAGAAGATTAGAATGGTCCTCCAAGTCCAGGCTGATTCAGTGGTTACCAATGCTGACAACTGTTGTAAATGCCAAGACAAGCTGATGGCATCAGCTTAATTTTTGTTGTTTTTCTTCTTTGTTATACAGGTGATAGGTATGATTCTGAGCCAAAGTCCAGGTGGGATGATGACTGGGACAAAGGCAATAGAGGAGTTTTCCCATTCAGTGAAAAGTTAGGAGAGATCAGCGATAAAATTGGGACCACAATCGATGATACAATCAACAAGTTTAGGAAGAAAGATAAAGATGATTCACCAGAAAGGTACTGTGGACTTAAACGTGTTTTTTACATTTTAAATAGATGTTATGCAATTTCTTCAACTGTGGGAATATTTCTGGGTGACTCTTGCACGTCAGTAATGTTGGAGATGTGGAAAGTGACAGTTGGATTCAGTTTTAGAGGGGGAAGAAACTAGTATCAATAAAAACGTCTTGAGGTGTTGTGGTATTATGGGAAAATTATCTGATTCTGCTAACATGTTACTGAGGATATTTGTAGGAGTCCCTTGTGGGAGCCTCAAAAGACCAACTGCTTCATCAGGTGGATCATTTTATTGCGGCTCGCCTAACTCCACAAAACCTGCCCACCACAACGGTGATAAATATTCTACAGTTGCCTGAATGAACATAACCACAAAAGCACTGAAGAGGTTTAACACTACCCAATTCAAAACGGCCCACTCCTTCTACCATCTTAAATATCCCCTTCCTGCACCACCATTGTTCACTGGTGTAATATGTTTGATGCACTGTGCCAATGGTTAGAATTTCCTGGAACGTGAAGAACTGCAGGCTTATGGCACTATCATCACCTGCAGACTTCCTTCCAAGTCTCTCTCCATCTGAATTGGACACTAGTTATAGTCAACATTGTTGCTAGAAATCCTTACTTAGCACCTTGTGGAGAAGCACCTTCATTGCATTTACTCCAGCTGTTGTGGACCAGGCCAATCTCCCCTCAAATATATCAACAAGTTAGCCCAGACCCTAACTTTTATCTTATTTAAAGGCAAGTGTAAGGTGCTGCGTTCAAGATGTAATTCGATTGGTTGCACTACTCTGCTTTAAGCAAAATACACTCTTAACAGAATAGTAGATTTATTTAACTACTAAACAACAACTGTTCCAATTTGGTAATATCCCATAAACACATCCTTGGCAAAGGCAAATTCAGGCGATTCTTGCAGCAGAGACAACTCCAGCTTTTAGCTGTAACAGAGAGGGGAATAATAGCTTCCACGTTCAGCTTCAAGACCCTAGCAGCTGCGTAAAGCTAAAATAACACCCTGATTCTGTGGTAGCTGACTGCAACATTCATGCTACTTCTGTTGTTCCAACATTGTATAAAACCCAAGGCTTCAAGTTTTTAACTTTACTGGCTTGGAGTAGACAGCTTTGCATCTTTGTCTCAACACCTCTTCCTTTTGAAATAAAGGACTAAATACACTTCTTAAAGTTATAGTACCATTGCAAGCTTTGAGAAGTTTCACCTGGTGGGAAACTTGGGATAACTGTAAATTCTGATCTTGCCAGCAATGCTTATTTCCAGAATATTAATGCAAAACAAAAATTTAGAACATTTATCTGCTTGAGAGATTCTGGAGTCACTTTCATTTCAAAGTGTGAAATCTTAATGCATATCAACTTTTATTTCTTGGTTAAAGTTGTAATAAATTGGATATGAAATCTTTTTGGTACTTAAGTAGGTTTAACATGCATTGATTTCTCACCTTTACTGCTTTCCTGCTTCACATGCCTGTGATGCAGTTTGTTAACAATGTGGAAGAAAATTATTTTTCAATGCTTGAGCTAGAGTTTACATGGATGGTTTGAAGTACAAAAGGATCAAGATGCATAGAACTACATGTGTATAAACTATGCAGTGAATTGCTTTAGATTTAAGACTATTGGCAAACATCATATCTGTACCAGCAATATCTTTGAGAAAGTGAATATGACCTTGTAAAGCATTTTATTTTGTAATAAATACAGGTAGTTCTCCTATAACATGACAGTTGCATTCTTGTGTGACCTCACACTGTAGAAAATCGCCATACCTGTACAGCAGAAGTCTGTTATCCAAACAGCATCCACTATTCATCAATCACGTTGCAGCCAATTCACGTTAACAAAATACGCATCATTGCAGAACTATCTGTATAGTGCTTACAAACATGTATTTACTTGGAACCTCCCTGTTTGCACATAATACAAATCTGGTTTGCAGAACTTAGCAGTCAAAATAGGTTTCCAGTTGAAGTGGAGAATGAAACCTCATTTAAATAGCTTTCTGCATTTTCTGAAATCCATCCACCAACAGACAAACTGTCATCAGTGTGTATGTCCCCTCCGTGACCATCTCCACATCTTGATCGCTACTACGATCATATGTTTGACCAATATCAAACAAACCAATCACTTTTTGGACTTCAACAGGAGCTGATGCTGATCATCAGGCATGGGAAGAAGTTGATTGGAGGAAGCAAAACAGTCTTGTTGTGGTAGTAATACTGAAGCACAAGCTTCAAATATTCAGTGGTTTTCTGGCCTCCTAATCACAATACTATGTCTTGTAAATGCCCCTGTAATGTGCATTAACACCTTATTGACTGTAATAAGTAGAAGGACAGGCAAGATGTGCATGTAACAAAAAACACAGACTGCTGGACTAACCACCATCTTATAATTTCAAAGTTAAATGTTAAGATCTAGACATGCCCAACACATGAAGGTCCAAAATCAAGTTGGTGTGTCAAGGAAGGAAGTTCTGAGAAACTAGAATGTTACTGTATACAGTAAAAATGAACAAATGTGTTGTGATTAACTAGCTGACCTTCAGAGAGTGCACCCCATTGCTTTAGAGTTGCTTGTCCCTACCTTCCATAAGCACCCATATTGGTTTGAAGGAAACAATTAGGTAACCCAGTAATAAATGGAAAAGAGATATTGTTGCTATAGGGTTTTCGTCAATGGCATGTCATTACTATCCGTGCACAATGCCTAGCAAAACCTCCACAAAACTGTGCATTGCATACTCAAAACCTTAAAACACTTCAGCTGAATCAGAAAGCTGATGACCTTCTGACATGCAGACCACAAAGACTGGAAGAGAGTCTACAGTGCTCTGAAATCAGTCAGTGGGCTCTAGACTACTGGTTCATCACCAATCCTCTGTTGGCAGAACAATGTTTTTCAGCAATAAAGGCCAAATACTAGAAAATTGGATAGTGCACTTTAATCACGTCCTCAACCTGCCTTCATCCAGCCATAAAGTACTATTCGACAGCTACAAGTCGCCATCAGCTGTTCTCCTGATGACTCTCCCACACTGTTAGAAATGAAGATCACAATCAGCTTCCTATCTAATGGCAAAGATGTAGGAAATAATGCACCCCAGCTCTGGTCTACAGCATCAGTGCTTGCTCCAGAAGCTCACTGAGCTCGTTCAAATTGTGAACCATTCGACAAAAATACAAATATGTCTCCACTGTCCACCTACACAAGTGCAGAGGAGTTTCAGTTTTGTAAATTGGTGACAAATCTACAACAGAATTCTTCTGAACTGCTTAAGATCTCAACCCAGTTTGTTGGCATGGAAGCCCCCACCCCGAACAAATCCCTCATGTCTTTTCTAGCTCTCTGTCCTCTCACCTTAAACACGTGCACCCTGGCCTTGAAATCCTATTATAGGGAAAAGATCCCTACCATTAACCCTATCTCTACCCCTCATGATTTTATGAACTTCAAGGTCACTTCTCAACTTCCTCTGCTCCAGCAAAAAAAGTCACAACCTTTCTTTATAACCCAAACCTTACATACTCTGCAACAGCCTGTAAAATTTCTTCTGAACCCTCTCTGGCTAAATAATATTCTTCCTATAACTGGATGGTGAGAACTGTACACAGTATTCCAGAAGTGACCTAACTATGACCCCCGTCCCCCAACTCCTGTACTCCAAGGTTACAGCAAGGAAATTTAAGCATGCTAATTGCCTTTTTAACCACCCTGTGTCTATATGTGATACATTCTTCAAAGAATTAAATACCTGCACCCCTAGGTCGTTCTGCTTTACAATGCTACCCAAGGCCCTACCATTTATTGTATAAGTGCTACCCCTGTTTGTACCAAATTGCAATACCTTGCATTTATCCAGCTTGAACTCCCATCTGCCATTTTTCTGCTCATTGACCCATTTGATCAAGATCCCTTTGTAATCTTAAACCTTCTTCACTGTCTACTATGCCACCAATTTTGGTGTTGTCCACAAGCTTACTGACCATGTCTTCTATATTCTCATCCAAATCATTTATATAAATGACCAACAAAAGCAGAACCAATCCCTATGGAACACTGCTGGTGACACGCCTTCAGTCTGAAGAACAATCCTCCACCACCACTTTGTGTCTCACCATATCCAATTGGCAAGATCACCCTGACTCGTGACCTAACTTTACTAATTAGTCTATCATGTGGAACATTGTCAAAGGCTTTACCAAAGTCCAAGTAAACAACGCGTACTGCATGGTCAAAGGAAGTGTTACAAGGATACTCCAAAGGTTTTGGCTTAGTTTTGATAGAAACTTTGAACCCAGGATTGTTGGACCTGATGCAGCCAAATTAAAATATGGTGTGACCTCCCTCGAAAACTAGCGCATCTCGGGAGGAAGGAGAAAATGCAGAAAGGAAATCTCAAGCTATCAAATCACCAAAAACTCTGGTGTCTGCTTTATTCTCCTCATTTTCTGCAGAACGTTCTGAGTGCAGATTGGCCTTAGCAGTCACCTACGTTTGGAAATTTGCCAAACACCACAGATGATGAACGTTTGATGACCAAAATATCCATCTAACATTTTTTCTTCAAAATATCATTGTCAGGATATAGGTGTTGCTAGTATTGCTTAGCCTTTATTTCCACTCCTATTTTCCCTCCTGGTAGCAATTTAAACAACTGATTGCCATAGGGTAGAGGTTGGTTAAGATTCAATGATGAGGAGAGACTGGAATTGCTGATAGGCCAGAAGTGACTGTCCTAATTTTTTATAAATGACTGGACCTCGGCTGGATAATTCTGGATACTGTACCACAGGAAAGATGCAAAGATTGAAACCAAGTTTAAACTTTGCCAGCAATGAGGCTGTGAAGAGCAGTTGGGCATTCTACAGTTTTAGAACGGAGGAAATTAAAATGTGATAAAAGATAGTGAATGAGTAGGCAACCAGCAACAGCAACATCCCATGACCTTTTTCTTAAAAAAAAAAAACTTGTCTAGTGTCCTGTCTTCTGACTCCTCTCTTAGACAGGGGTTGTATTAACCATTTTCCAGTTTTCTAGAACCATCCCTGTGATTGCTGAAAGATCAACACCAACGCCTCTATAATCTCCTCAGCTGTCTCCTTCAGAACTTACTGCATAGTCTGTCTGGTCCAAGTGATTTATCCACCTTCAAACCCTTCAGTTTCCCCAGCACCACCTCCACTGCATTTACCTCTGCCATCTGACTTGCATGAAATTCTGGTATGCTGCTGGTGTCTTCCACTATGAAAACTGATGCAAAATACCTCTTATTTTCTCTGCCATTTCTTGGTTCCCCATTACTGCTACTGCTACAGCTGTATTTTCCGCTGGTCCATTGTGTGCTCTTGCTTCTCTCTCAGCTTTAAATATCTAAAAAATACTCTTGCTATCTTTTAATACCAGTTAGCTTACACTCATGCTTCATCTGCTCCCACTTTATTGCTTTTTTAAGTGATCTCTTGCCTGATTTGTAAAGGCTTCCCACTGATCTTCACTAGATTGTATGCTTTTTCTTTTGCTTTCATGCTGACCCGATTTCCCTTGTCAGCCATGGCTGCCTCATCCTCCCCTTAATGTTTCTTCTCCCTTGGGATGCTGTTCGGAGCTTTGGATTCACTGGGCCAAATGGCCTGCTTCCACACTGTAGGGATTCTATAATTAGTTCCCCACCCTAGGTAAAAGACCTTTGCTATTCACTTTATCTGTGCCCTTCATGATTTTATAAACATCTATAAAGTCACCCCTCAACCTCCTATGCTCTAGTGAAAAAAGTCCCACCCTGTCCTTATAACTCACCTTCTAGTCCTGGCAACATCCTGCAAAATTTTTTTCTGAACCCTCTCCAGTTTAAAAATATCCATCTTACAGAAGGCAACCAGAGCACAGTACTCCAAAAGTGGCCTCACCAGTATTCTGTACAACCTCCAACATGACGTCCCAACTCCAATACTCAATGGTTTGAGCAATGAAGACAAGTATGCTAAATGCGTTCTTAACCACCCTGTCTACCTTTGCAACTTTCAAAGAACTATGTACTTGAACCCGTAGATCTGTCTGTTCGACAACACAACACTCTCCAGGGCACTACCATTAATTGTATAAGTCCTGCCCTTTTTTATCTTAGTGAAATGCAGCATTTATCCAAATTAAACTCCATCTGCCATTCCTTGACCCATTGGCCCAATTGATCAAGATCCCTTTGTAATCTTAGATAACATTCATCATTATCGACTATACCACCATTTTGTAACTGCCTCCTGAAACACAGCATCCAGGTAACTCTTGCCTTCCATGACGCGTCACACTTTTCAAAGTGCAGACTCCAGCTCATCAGCTTTGAGCTGGAGTTCTTCAAGCAGCCAGCAATTGATACAGATGTGGTCACTATGAACCACAGTAGGGTCCACCAGCTCCCATATTGTGCAGTTACAGCACATTGCCTGGCTTTGGCTCTCTATTTTAATTACTTAGTTCTTAATTTGATTTTTTGTTTTAAATTTCATACTGAGTTTTTAGTTTATAGCCTGAAAACATTTTCCATATTTACCTGCAATCTGAAAGTAATCTATAATCATCAAATTAATAGCTATCACCAACCAGTGAACTTGCAGTTTACCTGTGTTACGGCTTTGTGCTGGGCCTCTGATCCTGTGGTTCAATTTATCCTGTTTTTAAAAAAAAACACTTTACAAACTATGAGCCATAAAAAAACCAAAAAGCACCCTTACCCCTCTGCACCTCCTTCCCAAGTTTCCTCCAAATTCCCGAACTATACACTCGGGCTGCATCTCAGTCTAGATGTGATCTCTCTTTCCTGACTGTGCGCAGCTACTGATCAAGCGCTTTCAACAGATTCTTTCTTAATTAGAACTGAGGTGAACAAGATGACTCAGACTAGTCAAGCTTCAATAGTAAGTAATACCTATAAGGCCCCATTCGGGCTTCAGGTGGTTGACTGATAACTGTCCCACAATCAGCTAAGTCTGCTATCTTATTAACCTTTTCAGTGGACTACTGAACTTCAGATTTCTAAAATGGAGAAAGAAATGAAAAATTTACCAGTTCTGTTCCCATGTTGCCTCCAAATTCCCCGAACTATATATCAGACTTTTACTTTCTATTGCATTTAAATGTTGAGTCAAATGATGAGATTCCATTTTCTTTCGGCTTTTGGAGGAGCAGAACGTCTTAGGAACCAGCTTCTGGATTTCCATGTTTAACTGTGTATGATTTCTATAAATTGTTCAATTTGTGCACAAGCAGTGGCAAGCAAAGTTTCACTGTTTATATTTTCACAGCAAAATCCACCCTATTTTTGACACTGCTTCATTTTGTTTCGGTCTTAATTAGCCTGCCTGTTGCCAGATATCACCAACTAATTTTTCAATCTAATACGCTTTTATCACTGTTCTAAATCTCAGCGACAGTGAGGAGGAGAGAAGGCCCAAGAACAATGGCAAGGTTGGAAAGTCGGAGTACAAAGATGAAGAGGAGACAGTGACCACCAAATCAATCCACATTACGCAAGCTTCAGAGACCACCACCACCCGGCATAAACGTTCTGGCATACCTTCCAAAACAGTTGATCTTGGTGCTGCAGCCCATTACACAGGAGACAATACAAGTCCGGAATTAAACTCTGCTGCAAAGGTGGGAACCTACTTAATACACATTGTAGAAATGTATTTTGCTAAGTTGATGTATTTCTGCTTTAACTTTGTTAGATTACTTACTCTTTTGCTTTTAAGCACCTATTGGATTTTAATGCACAGGAGGAAGCAACTATTCCCATTATACTTATGACAGTTCTTTTAAACAGTGGTCAGTGAATCAAAAACAAATTGCTGGAAAAGCTCAGCAGGTGCATTGCCATCTGTGGAGAGAAAGCAGAGTTAATATTCAGGTCCAATGATCCTTCTGCAGTTTTTTGTTTTTTTAACTGCTCAATGAATCCCACTTTTCCACTGTTTCTTCAGTCTTGTCAATGTTTTTGTTTTGACTCCATATCCATTTTTGAAAGTTGGGCTTGTAATGGAAGATAATAGATGTGTAATTTTCTTTGCAAATCAGTCATTAGTTTGGCTATATTTTTTTTAAAAAAGCCTGAAAAATCATCTAAATAGACTACATCTGCTTTTAAAAGATTTGAGAAATTAAAATTTGCCTTCCAATTTCTCTTTCCTCCCCCAAACTTCTGAAGTTACCAGGTAAAGACGGTGTACCTGTCCAAATTGTTCAGTTCCTATGCCAAAGCCCATATAGTACTTAAAGCCATTTAGCCATGGTTCTTAACCAAAATCTCCATCATCTCTCACTCCTCCGTGGCCTTCATGCACTTTGCAGTAAGTGTAATTGGATGGCAGTTTGAAATGGCAGGGTTAGCTTTCTGGTCCTCAGCTGTTAACTAACCTGGGATGATAAAATTAATTTTCACTTCTGTCTCCTCTGGTTAAAATCTAACTAACCCAGCTCAGACTCTGGTTTTCCTTGCTTGCTGTACCCTAAAGAGATAATGCCATTGTCTTGTAGCGCACCAGCACCTACAAGTTCCCGTCTAAGCCTCAGCATCTTGACTTTAAACTATATGGCTATTTCTTTACTTGTGGGGTCAAAATCCTGGGACTTTTTTCCTAACAACATTGTGATATCTCTTCACCCTAGGACTGCAGTGGTTCAAGAAGGCAGATCAGTACTCTTATCCAGAGCAATTAGGGGTGAGCAATGAATGCTGGCCTAACCAGCAGCACCCACGTCCCATAAACAAATTGAACACCTACTTTATTCTTTATTAATGTTCTTTGAAAGATCCACATTATATTTCCAAAGATAAAAATCAAACTCTCAAATTATTTTTGTTTTCCATTGAAAGGTGATAACTTTTTTCCTGCTCCCTTTCTGTGGACTTGCTGTGTGAACTATCAGTGTGGCAGGGAATGTTCCTTGCCCCAGTACTGCCCTAACTTGCTATTCTGATGCTGTGAATGTCTGTGGTAAAGGAAACATGAGGGAAAATATTTAACTTCTCACCTAGTTCTTGATATCCTTGATCCTTTGTCAACACCTCACATCTCCCATCTCCCATCTGCCTGAGGTTCCTCAATGTGCAGAATAAAATAAGAGGGAGGATGTGCATTTTACCCAGTGTAAACATCTACAGAAGCATGTTAACTTTGTATGCTTATTCCCAGATGCAGATGATGTTGTCAATGCTGCATCTATTAGCTAGTTGCCCTGAGGCCGTTAAGACATTTAGTCCGAAACTGAACTAGACCAGCATACTTGGGTACTGTATACTCCACTGTGGCTATAAATACAGGCTCAGAATTCTCCAGTGAATAACTCCTCCAAGTCTGTTCATCATTTACAAGGCACAAGTCCAGAGTTTGCTGGAATACACCCCACTTGGATGAGTGCGGTTTCGGGCAAAGCAGTCCGGTTTATTTGGCACCTCATCCACAACCTTTTACATTCACTCTCTCCATCACCATTGCACAGTGGCATCCTCAGTTGTACCAGCCTCGAGATGAACTGCAGCAACTCACCAAGGCTCCTTCAATAACATCTTCCATACCTATTACCTTTACTAGCTAGAAGGATACGGATAGCAGATGCATGGAACTTGCAAGTTCTTGTCCAAGCCACATACCTTTCAGATTTGGAGCTATATCACCACATCTGGACTGTGGGCTAAAATCCTGAGACTGTCTTCCTAATAGCACTGTGTGTGTGCCTACACCACCTGGACTACAACGATTCAAGAAGGTGGTTCTTCACCACCTTCTCCAGGGCAAGCAGAGCTGGGTAATAAACACTGGTCTGACTGGTGATGCCACATCCCGTGAAAGAATATCCTAATGAAAGGAAGTAGAGTTGTTATGACAGTCTAGCAGTTTTGGTCATTAGTTTTCTCATACCGTCCTCTGGTTACCAGAACCACTGAATTATTTTTCCCTAACATACCATAATGGAATTTCAGCTCTCAGTCTCTGAATTTCTCATCCAGTGTTATAAACACAAAGCAACCACATTTGACAATGCTTCCTGAGAAATTTGTCATTGGCTTTTAAAAACAAAAGCAGCTTTTATAAATAATTGAAGAGAAGAATGTTGAGAATTTTTTTTGTTACTAATGAAATATGTTAAGATTCGGGTATGATCAAAAGGAGTAAGCCACAGTAATTCCCCTTGAGTGCTAACTTTATATCTGCTCATTGCCTGATGTATGATTGACCTGGGTAAATATCAGAGGAAGCCTGTCTAACCATACTGCTTTCTGCATGTTTTTATCAATCTTTCAATCAATACATCAAAGCAATATCGCTACAATCAGCAATTTTTTTCTCTGTGCTATGCTACATTTTGTTAATGCAGTGTGTTTTTACTTGCTTTGGTATTTCTGCTCTTATTTGTTCCAGCAAATGCTGCTCTTAAGAGTTGGCGCCACAATCTGTGATGTGTAATAGTAGCTATATGACATTTTCTTCATGTACCTGCTTAACCCAATTTAGAGAAACAGCAATGCAATTACAGATTTTGCCCTTGTAAACTGTTTGAGAGTATTTTCATTTGTATAATTCTAGCTGCAAAATTGCTAATGGTGAACAATGGTTTAGCATTAGGAATGTCATATGAGAAGTAAATTACAAAACGGAAATAACAGCTCTTTTGTTGTTCTCTTCAGCATGTCTGCTATATAGAACTGTGCTTTATAAACCTGCAGACTGTATGAATATCAGATTTCACAGCTTTTATTTCACAATTGCACTTTTGGGGCCAGATAGTTCTAGGTCTTCCTCCCCTAATGTTAGAGCAGTTCACCTTTAAGTCTGATATTGCCACTCTGTCAATTTAATTTTATGTAGCCTGTCTTACTCTGATGAATAAAAGGCACTTTTTGTTTTCGTTTACAAACTTTTTTCAAAGATATAGCTTAAGATCAGAACTATAGGGACAAGCAAATGAATATAGGCAGATTTTTGCAGTCATGTTTGCTGCATTATCCACAGTTCAAAGTCAAATGTAATTTTTTTGAGGGTGCATAATTTCTTTTGGACTTCTTTTATTAAAGTAGGACAATAATTGTAAGACAATGTGTACCATTGCTTATATTATGAAATAAATGCTTTAAAATATGATGTGTTGGAATGACCGGCTGCTGTATACAGCCGAATGAGAAGTTCAGTTTATGCTTGGAGGTGTTAATTATGGTGCCTGGATTTCTTAGTAGACTGCAAATAGAATGCCCACAATCAGATGAATGTGTGGTCTCTGCTGCTACCTGCTGGATGTTGCAGTTGCCTCAGCACAAATTTTAACTTCAGTCTCAAATTATTTGGTTAGCTCGCATTGGGAATATGACCAGCATGATGTGAGTGCCATTAAATTTCCTTGATTTTTCTAAATTATTTCAGATTATTTGAAGGACTTTTCCCTACTAAATGGAAGTAGTTCCCTTTATCATGTCAATTCATGACCACACTGAGTGACGTGCCTTTGTGCAAAAGAACAATACATGCAAAATTCAGATTCTTTCCCTAACTAATAAAGTTCAGAAGGGTTGATAAATACCGTTTCACTAAACTGTGTACATATTCAATTGTTTACAGTTTAATGTCGATGTAAATGAACCTCGTTTTACTTAACTCCCTGTAACAAGTCATTTCATAATGCAGAGTACACTAAGCGTCGAGATACACTGCTTACTTTTGAATTGAAGTGAGGGGTAACATCTGCTATTGCTCAGAAACCAGCAAATTCAGTGTCTGTAGTTATCGGTATGTCAGGTACTAAAACTTGGTTGGTAAATTGCATCAATGCATAGAATTTCACATAGAATTTCCTATTGCTGCTTGCCAAATGACTTAGTGTTGTGCAGAGCTTTGTCATATTGTCAGAATGTCTTATTTCTGTTTAAGTTTAACATTTGTAAATGAAGTTGCTAAAGTGCCGTCAAATTAATCACTGAACCTGGTTGTGCAGTTTTGCTAAAGAACTTTTTGTGCCTTATCTGCCAATTGTGATCTTAGACCCAGGAAGAATATCTGTAAACATAGGGAAGTTAACTATTTTCAATCCACACAGCAACTTCACCAATAAAATTACAAACTTAAAAGAAATTGGGAGTTGAAAACTACTCTAACTTGAAGTCCCAGCTAGAACATTTAGCCTCACATTCTTCTCTGGGGAAAAAACACTTCAGTTGCATATGGTAGCTAAATGCAGAGCTGTCCAATATTTTTCACCTTATGTGCTGCATTGTCTCACATTTTTAGACCCTTATATCCCAGTAATTTGCAGATCTCCGAGTTGCTGAGTTCAACAGGTGTTAACATTCTGAATCGGGATTAATCACCTGATGAAACCGTAGTGCTAACAACAGCTCAAACTAGCAATTTATAACATGTTTCCTAATCTGGGAAAGACTGTTGGAATTTCAAATAGAAACAAAACTATTCTTGCAGAAAACATTTTTATTATCCAGTGACACAAATAATGCACCAAGTCAAAATATCAAACAAGTGCGGTATACTTGAGATCCCTGTACTCTTAATTCGGTAAAGGGAACCAAATCAGATCATGCAACCACACTGGTACAGTGCTTCTTCATTATAGTGTCTGTCTTTTTGTACCTAGGTTTCAGCACCGAGCGCTGTTAAGAACGATTCAAAGAATGACCTAGTCGACCTACTCTTTGACACAGGATTTGAATCCAGTCAGATTGCTTCCACAGGTAACGTTGTCACTGATGTTTTTTTGATAATGCACCTGAGCTCACTTCCTGAACAGCAGTGCTGATCAATTAAGTTACTGGAGTCATTCTCATGAAACAGCTGACTCTCTCTATTCCTTTTCCAAAGCAATTGGGGCAGATGCCAGTTTCCAATCATTGTATTGTTCAGGACACGGCACCTGCTACATGCTTCCAGTTTCAGTATAAAAGTTCCTACCTCAGTAACATTTATTACCTGAAAAAACTGGTAGCCAGCCAGTGGAGAAAACAATTAGACATGTTCTCTTTTTTAAAAAAAAAATCTGCACTGAGTGGGGCATTTACATCTGTTTTCATGATTCTTGTCGACAGTACTAATTGGGCGACGCACTTGTGAGACACCTATATTGCTTTTCAGAATGCCCACCTATTTATCAATTTATTTGTTCTTGTTCACTTCCCCTGCTTTCCATCTCTGGAAATGAAAAATATTAAGGGACATGAAAGTAGTGTGGGGAAATAGTTGAAGTAGAACATCAGCCAAGATGATCCGTTAAATAATGGAGTAGGCTCAAGGCACTGAATGGCCTAATCCTATTTCTTATATTTCTGTCCTTTAAGCAGCATATGGACCTTGTAAATTTGCGGTATCTAATTGTGTGTGAAGATCAGGTATCTTAATTTGATACAAACCAGATATTGAACTGAAACTGTCCCCAATATCTATGTTCTGCCTCTGCTTTTAGAAACATTATTTTATTGATTATTTCTTCTGTTAAATAATGTTCTGACCTTCCTTCAGGTTTCCTGCAGATTTCATTTTATTAAAAATCCTCTGTTTTGCAGACATTTCTGACTCTGTATAATTTTTTTCTCATGACTAATTTAAACTGAAAATATTTAAATAGTAATTTGTCAATTGGTTTGAAATTTGCAACTTTTTAATTTACTTCATATCTTGTCACTTTTCTGTTGTGGTTCCCCAAATTTCCGAGAAGTTTTTTTTAATATTTATGCATCGGGTGTGGGTGTCACCGGCTCGGCCTGTATTTATGCCTATCCTTGACTGCCCTGGAGAAAGTGATGGTCACCTTGAAATACTGTAGTCCTTGGAGTGCAGGGATATCCACAATGGAAGAGTTGTAGTTTTGATTTTGATTTTTTAATTTATTAAAAATTAATAAATTTGAATAGATTTTAGCCAGTCACAACGAAGGAATGGCAATATAGTTCTGTCAGGATGGTTTGTGGCGTGGTGGGGAAATTTCAGGTGGTGGCATTCCCATGCATCTCTCATCCTTATTCTTTTAGATGGAAGAGGTCATGAATTTAGAAGCTGGCAGGAGCCTCTGAGTTGCTGCAGTGCATCTTGTAGATGATACACACTGCTGCCATTGTGCCTTAATGGAGAAGTAAATGTTGAAGGTGGTAAATGGGGTGCCAGTCAAGCATGCTGCATTTTTCCGACTGGTGTCAAGCATCTTCAATGTTGTTGGCACATCACCTTTGCAGGGAAGCAAGAGAATATACCATTACACTCCTGACTTGTGCCTTTTAGATGGTGGACAGGTTTTGGGGAAACGGGGAATAAGTTAGTTGCCAGGGAATTCCTATCCTTCAGTTAACTCTTGTGTCCACAATACTTGTATGGCAGGTCCAGTTCTGATCCTGATCGATATTAACCTCCAGAATGTTGACAGTGAGGGAGTAGTCGTAGTGCCATTGAATGTCAAGAGACAATGATTAGATTTTGTCCTTGGTCATTGTTTCACACTTCTGTGGTGTCCCAAGCCAGACTGCATGTGCACATAGGCAGCTCTAGTATCTGAGTGTTGTTGAATGGTGCTGAACATTGTACTATCATCAGTGAACCTCTCCACTTCTGAGTGTTGTGAAACTATGGAATTTTTCTACTCCAGATGGCTATAGAAGCTAGATTGTAGACATATTCTTGGAGATTGATATGTAGAAAGCAGCCAATGATGTAAAGAGAAATGGGGAGTGGGTAAAAGGCATTGAAGATAAGTCATGAGTGCATTGAATAGTGGATCAGCCTCAATTGGTTGAAGGGCCTACTCCTGTTTCGGTGTTCTGACCATATAATGAAAAGAAGATCATTGAAGCAGGTGAATATGTTTTTACCCAAGACATTACCATGAGAAACTCCTGCAGTGGTGTCCAGGCACTCAGTTGATTGACCTCCAACCATAACCATCTTCCTTTGGGCTAAGTATGACTTCAACCAACAGTTTTTCCTGTGATTCGCATTCACTCCAGTTTTGCTAGGGCACCTTGATGCCACATTCTGAAATGCTGCCTTTGATGTCAAGGGCAGACATTCTTAACTGCCCTCGTGCATATCTTTCATCCATGTTTAGACCAAGGTTGTGTGTGCTCAAGAGTTGTGGTCTTAGTGAAACTCAAACTGAGCATCAGTCAGTAGGTTATTCCTTTGCCAGTACCACTGGATAGCATTGTTAATTATTTAATCGTTACTTTGCCAATGTTTGAAAGTAGATTGGAGAAGAAGTTGGCTGGATTGGCTTTGACCTATTTATTGTGGATAGAGCATAACTGGACAATATTTGCATGTCATCTGGTAGAAGTCCAATGTTGTAGCTGTACTGCATTAGTTTGGCGAGGGGCATAGCTGGTTCTGGAGTTAAGTACTAATGCTGGAATGCTGTCAGGAACCATTGCCTTTGCAGCATCCAGTGCCTTTGGTTATTTATTGGTAGTGTGAAGTAAATTGAATTGGCTGAAGATTAGCTTCCATGATGCTAGAGACTGCAGGAAGAAGCAGAGTTGGATCATTCATTCAGCATTTCCACCTGACAATTGTTGCAACCTGATGTGCTGGACTCCTCCAGTGTTTAACCTGAAGCCATGAGCGTTCATGGGGTCTGGAGTCAATGTTGAGGATTGCCAGGACAACTCCCTTCTGACTGTATACCGCTATATTGTCACCTCTAGTGAGGAGGACAGGATGTACCCAGGGACAGTGGTGGTGGTTTCCAGGACATTGCCTGTATGTTGTAAGTATGACTGTCAAGATGCTGCTTGGCCCTCTCATTTACTTCTCTCACTTGTGGCACAAGTTCCCAAATGTTATTAAGTGGGATTTTGCAGAGTCAATAGGACTGGATTTGCTGTTGTATGGGTTGATACTACCTGATCTGTCTGGTTTCGTTCCTTGTGACATTTTGGTGATTTTATGAAACTAGGCAATTTCAGGGGGCAGATAAAGAGTCACAGTGCTGTGAATCTGGCATCTCATGTAGGCCAGACCAGGTAAGGACAGCAGATGTCCTTACTTCATGAACCAGATGCATTTTTTACAACAACCAACAATGGTTTCATTGTCACCATTAAACTAGCTTTTAATTAATTGAATTCATTTTTCACCATCTGCCTTGATGAAATTAATACCCAGGTTCCCAGAGTATTAGCCTGGTTTACTAGTCCAGTCACATTGCCACTCCTCCTCCATTTCCCTATTGTTGACACCCATCAGCTTTTGGAGTCGACATTATGGCAGACTTTGCCAGATTTAGAATCACTTTTCAAAACGTCACATGAAGTAAAGGGTCTGCTAAATGAGTTAGCATGGAGAATCTGAGATAACCAGGTGTAGAGCTGGATG